TCAAAAGTCGAAGAAAGAAATGAAAAAAAATTTGCAGTCAACAATAACAAAAAGAGGGAAAACCGCCACATTTAAATTTATTTTGATGTTGCACATCCAAATCGGGCGTTACTTTCTGTGGCGACTGTACATCATTTGACTAAAAATGGGCGAATGTAAAAAATTATAAATAAAGCTTCACCCGGTTTGAATTGCGGAATTTTTAGTATGCTGTATTTTCCTTCAGACTGTGATATGATAAGAACGCTTTTAATTTTTTCTGCTTGCTACATAAATTCGATATTTTCTATTAGTCTCCTTATACATAGTTTTTTCGGTAAGTCGGATTACATAAACGTATAGCCCAAGCCTTATGTGTTTATCATTATTGTTCACACGGCAATTACGTAAATTTATAAATACGCCAGATTACGTGCCGTGAACTGAAACATTTTTTTTATTTTAAACACTCTAACCATTTTTGGGACTTCGTAACTTATATATATAATGTTATCTGATACCGGAGAAATCATGGTATTTAAAATTCTACAAATAATATAATTTTATAAGTAATCTTTAATGAGTTTCCAGATTTTTTGCATCGTTTTAGGTGATGCCATTGGGAATTCTTTCCCGGTTGATATTAGTGAAGACATGACCGTTGGGCATCTCAAGGATCTCATCAAAAAGAAGAAGGAAAATACCTTTGCTAATGTTGACGCTGACGAACTGAATCTATGGGGTGTGAATATTCCTATCGAAGGTGAAGATCTGGAAACCAAAATATACGCCGAAAATATCAAAGAACAATACCAAGGTGTAATGTTATCTCCATTCAAAACTGTTGGAAAATATTTTCACGAATCTACTAGTAATATCCGCATTATCGTGCAACCACCACTGCCCGCCACTACTGGTAAATGTCTCACCTCTCGAACAAGAAATTTGCGGTTATCTCATTCTTTTATTCGATCAGGAAAAAGAAAATCGGATGATTCGGATGAGGAAAATGAAAGCAAAAGCAGTAAAAAAATGAAACTAAAAGGTGTGTATAAATAAATGTATATACTGTATACTTCATTTTGATGCTAAACATCAATCGTCTTAACATACATAATTATTTGTTAGATGTTTCCCGTAAAATCATGGTGAACATAAAGAAACTTGATGGGAATCCTGCTGTTTACTCAAACCCTCAAAACTTCCTTTCATTACCATTCCCATATCCTAGTGAGCGAAGACCAACAGATAGATTTACTATTAGCAATGATGGCCTCTTTACCTTCATGGGAAGAAAAGCATTCAGCAACGTTCTAAGCCAAATTAACATGCTTAAACCATATACCGGTTATATGAAAATGTTTATTTATGGCACAGTTGGGTATGGAAAGTCTTATGTTCTCACAGCAATAGCTTGCTATCTTCTCCGGAGCGGAAGGCGTGTTGTATATCTTCCTGATTGTCGCGAACTGGCTGTAAACCCAGTAGAATACATCAAATCGGCCTTATTTCTCACCTATGTGGATGATGATGCGAAAATAAGCGAAATTAATGCCTGTGAAAATTTTGATCAAATCATAAAATTTTGTGAATCATTGGATGAGAAGTTATATTTTATTGTAGACCAAATGAATGCTCTGGACGAACTTGATAATACCGGAATTAACTTAGAAAAAAAGCGACATGTTAAAGAAAATATTAATATATTGTGCTGGGCTCATTATTATATTAAGAGTTCTTCAGCAAACAATAGATCGGCATTGCACCTTAGGCAAAAGCAAACAGGCGAATTGAAAATTACACTTTATGGAGGGTTCGATGAGGTAAGACTAAGATGCTCTCTAAGTTGTGAATTTTTTATGTATTAATGTAATGTTCAATTTAGGAGGAAATGGAAGAGTGGTGGAAGGAGCATAATTCCGTTTTGCCAACAATGAATGATGAGCAGAAGAAACAAATTGAAGATATCACCGGAAAAATTCCGCTCTTCTTAAGCATTTTATTAGAGTCTGGTTGCAAGAATTTTAAAAATGTATTGGACCACTTAAATCAACAATTAACATCAAAGATACAAGAGCCGATGACGAACTTTTCAGACACTATACCAGAAGGAAGACGGGAATTGTATGTATTTTTAGTTTGCTTCGTGATTGGTAACCTGTATGAAAACTGACTTCTCTATTTACACAGTCACGTCGACTTGATGTCATCGTTCCTGACAAAAGGATATCCTCCAAGTGGCTACGGAGTTGATGATTTTGATCATCGCTTCTTTTACATTGAAAATAAACTCTGTCATTATGTCTGCGGGATGGCACGGGATTGCATGGCGAACCATCTCTATGAAAAGGGCAAAATGGAAGTATTTACAGATATAAAGTGGATCAGTTGCATAGAGAAATTCAAAAACAACCCATCGGTTAAAGGATTTTTTGTGGAGAAGGCGTGTATTGCTAGTATTTTTAAGAATGGAATCATGGCGAACGGTGTGAATTTTAAGCCTGACGATATGGAATTTTTTTATGATGAAAAACAAATCCGATTTTCTTCGAATGAAGGGAAGTGTATGCTTTACTTACCACGTTGTTGGAACCAAGAGGCGATTGATGTATTACTGATTTCGCAAACAAATAATAAGTTGTATGTTGCCCCAGTACAGGTTACCCTTGATAAGAGTAGTCATTCAGATTCTGAGGGAAAATTTTTCTCCAGTATTTGGCCGAATTTAAAATCAAACTTATCGGGCTTCGAGGACAGATTAAAGATAATCTTCATATGGATTACAAGCAAAAGTGATACAGACTTGACAGTGGAAAGTAAGTCTAGAAAAACACGGAATAATTCTTTTGAAATTAATCCCGATTACATTCAGGTAGTACTGGGATTTAGGAATGTCAACAGAGATATTGATCAATATCTATCTTAGTCATATATATCATTAGTTAGTTCACAATAAAAATTTTATTTTGTGTTGAAATTTGCAAATCTTTTTATAAGCGAAATCTTTAATTTTTTCAAAATCAATTTATAAAATGAATGAAGTAGCGAGTTTCAAGGGAGGAAACATCTCGAACCCTAACCCGTAAAATGAGAGTTCCTTCCCGCTACTCACTATAACTGTTTTGCTATCGATCCAAGCACCTATTTTATCTAAATTGATTTTACGATAATAATTTTTAATCGAATCTTTACCAATTTTTCCCACCCTGAGAGTAACCATTACAACATTACACATATCGTCAAAAGAGCATTCTTTTTCTGCCATAATTCTATCAAAAATAATTTTAAACTGGTTCCAAATTTCCAAAGTTATATCCGAAAATGATCGTTGGCTCGAACCAGAAGATACTTCGGATTGATTTCCGTCATTTTGATTACTGTCATTTTGTTGATCCGATAAGTTCACCAAAATTGTTATGATAGTTTTGAAGGACTTGTTCGATTTCATCAAATCTTGTAGTTGAAGTATTAAGCATTGTAAAGATTCTTTGGACCTCTGCTGTAAATTTTTCATCGCATGAGGTGAGTTCGGTTATGAATCTGGCATCACGATTGGCAAGCTGGTGGTAAGTCGGGCATTACGATTGGCAAGAATTTCATTAAACATGCTATCACGTGTAGAAAGGTCGGAATTATGTTTGGCGTCGATGTCTTGCTTAGTGGTACGTGAAAAATAAAACGTGGCACCGATGACCAAGTAAATAGAGAATTTCTCAACGAACATCAATAGACCGGCAAAATCCAAAAATGGAGCGATTCCCGAAACAGCAAGCGATGACATCTATAAGGAGAAATTGGTCTGTTAGCATATACAGTGGCGATCATAATTAATGCAACAAAAAAAAGATTTTTGTTGAATCGAAATATTTCACGAAAATTAGAAGATATTCTTTTTGTTTTTTGATAATTTTGTTCGCTAATAGTATCGTTTTTATATATTAAATTCTTAACAGTCATTATTATTTCCAATTCCAAGATAAATACATGATTAGTACAAAACACGTGTTGCATTATCTATGATCATTTTATACAAAAATCAGGCGGTCATAGTTGTGCTATATAAATATTATATAAAAGGTAATTTTATCAAATATTGTTTACATATTGTATCAGGTTGCAGCTTTTTGGTCAAAAAACTCAAGTGCAAAAACATCATACAACTCCAGAAGAATGGGCACAAATTCTCCTTTCACTCCAAAATGGATATACTACAAGACAAATAGCAAAGTCAAGAAATATCAATCCCTCAACAGTTTTCTGTATTAATAAAAGATGACAGAAACAACATTCTTTTGAAGATGTAGTAAGATCTGATCGATCACCTACCATAAATGAACCAATAAAAAAAATTATTAATCTTATTGTCTCCTGGTAGTGTTTATCTACGGTAGAAATCCAAAAACGCATACAAGAAAAAGAGAATATTAATATATCAGCATCTACCATTCATCATATATTATGAGATAATAGTTTGATATTAGGAATAAAGAAAAAACTCTACCTAAGCAAAGAACATCAAATAAAATGATTGAAATTTGCACGAAATCATGAAAATTGGACCATCGAAGATTGATCAAAGATTATATGATCTGATGAGTTTAAATTTAAGGTTTTTGGTTCCAATAGAAAGCAATATTACTAAAAACGTCTAAATGAACCATTAAATCAATTTTATATTAAACCTACAATGAAGTTTGAGGATGAATCAGTGATGATTTGGGAATGCTTTATGTTCCAGAATGTTGGTGATTTTTGTAAGATCAATGGTATGATAAATGCTGAATTGTACCAACAGATACTTTATGAGAATCTTATGAATACTATTAGAGATCACGGATTCACTATTGAAAATATTATATTTTAACAAGATAGAAATTCTAAACATATGGCAAATTCGACGAAACGGTGGCTTAGAAATAATAGAGTTAAAATATTAGATTGGCTGTCACAATTCTCTGATCTGAATCCCATCAAATATTTATGAAATGAGGTTGATCATTATCTTTGGTATCTTCCTGGACAAATTTTGAGTAAGGAGAACTTGTGGAACAAGATACAACAGGTTTGACAAGAAATCAACATTGATATCTGTACCAACCTGATTCACTCTATGCCAGAAAGAGTTCGTGATATAATAAAAGCACAAGATGACTATACAAGATGGTAGGGTGGACCAAATTCATCAGTAAATTTGATAGATATCAGATCAGTGACAATCAGTAAATATGCTGATCATTGCTGATTTTTTGGTTATACTGATTCAAAATCTGCGCAAAACTCTGAAAATAGAAATTTTGAAGTTGTATAATCCAAAGAAACTGTAATGATTAGCATATTTACAGATTGTTACAGTTCTTTGAACATAAATTAAATAGATAAATGATAAATAGATCGATTATATACATTATCATTTATTTTTTTCTTTGAAGTTTATCACAGGTGCAAATTTAACTTTAAAATTCTTTGCCTATTAGTTTTTCAAAACATATATTTATTTAACAAAAAATGGTTTTTTTTGTCAAATCTCGGCACAATATGTACCTCTT